CACTGCCTCTCTTTGTCGGGGGCGGGGGAGCTGCGAAAGTGGAAGCCGGGGCGGGTCCACGGGCTGGACGCCAAGGGGTCGAGGCCAGCGGAAGCGGGTGGGGTGACGCCTGGACGGCCCCCCCCTGCCCCCGCACCCCGGCCGTGGCTGCTGGGCGCTGCAGGGACCCTGCGACGGGCTTCCCCACCCCCCCCCCCGAGGCGGGGCGCGGGCACCTGCGGACAGAAGGGGGCTCGTTGGAAAAGGGGCGCGGAACGGCCGTGCAGGCTGCAGGCTCTGGCCGCGATCCCTGGCCTGGACGCCCCTCTGGCTCGCTCGCGCGGGCAGGGGGGCCCCCGCTGGGCTGCAGGCCTCGCAGGGCGGAAGTCTGCCGGGCAGTGAGCCCAGCACGCCGCTGCAACAGAAGCCCTGATGGGGGGGGCAGCGTTGGACCCCCGCTGGGCCCCCTGAACAGCAGCCTGGCGGGGAAGCAGACCCAAAGCTGCCTGTGCCCCGCAGCTGAGCCCGCCACCCCCAGATGCCACCCCCGCAGCAGGCTGATCACCCCAGGGACCCACTCTGCTCACATCTGTGAAACGCAAGGAGCCAGGAGACACCCCACTTGGAAGGCACCCCACAAGCCGTGTCAGATGTAGGAATGGAAAACACTTTCCCATGCACCTATCAGTCCTTGCCAAAACCAGTACACAGCAAGCCCCGCGGTGAATTCCCAAGCCCGGCGAGCCAGGCAGGCGCAGGGGTTGAGAGCTGGACAGTACTACAAACATCAGGGGCAGCCCTCTGGTCCACTCCACCCTGCTGGTCCCGCCACACTGCCAGCCCGTGGCTCCTTACTGAAAGAGAGACAGTGCCATCGGGAGCACACTGTGGTTACTGGGCCCTGGGGGTGCAGAAGCCGGCGGCCGCCCCCAGGGCTGTGCTGCACCCCCGGGCTGATGGCAGGGCAGGCAGCCAGGCCACCCAGAGCATTCTGCACAGGCTGTCCCCGGGCCCCTGACTCAGTCACACAAGGACACGCCATCGGGCTTCATCCGCTCCACACCCAAGGTCACCAGTCTCTCCACACCCAAGGTCACCAGTAGCCTGGCGGTGCCAGACGGGACAGCCTCTTCCTGCCCGCCCTAACCTGGCGGGGCCTCGCCCTCTGCAGTGCCAGCCCCTCACGCCTCCTGGAACTGGCCTCCTGCCCCTCCCCGGGCTCCTGGGGGTCTCTTCCCCGTAGTCCCCAAGGCCAGGTCTTCCTCCACCTTCCTGGTCACCCCCTAGAGGCTGACGTGACCCTGACAGCGCCTGGCATTTCTGAGATGCTTCACAAAAATGAATGAAGGGATTTCGGTCTCTGGTCTCTCCCCCGCAGCACGCGGCGAGTCAGGGCCGGCCCCACGGCGGAGGCTGGGGCGTGCGGGTCCTGGCTTGTCTATGGTGCAGAGCTGGCTGCAAAGGGGTGCCACAGGCCTACAGCCCGGCCCCCCTCCGCTGCAGATGGGTAACCTGCCGCTGCTCATGTCTGGGTGCAGCCTGCCTCTCCCGTCAGCTGTGTGACCCAGCACTGCACTCTGGGTGTGCTGCTGACTTAGAGCAACTTCTGCTTCCCTTGCAGGTGGCTGCCGGAGACCCAGGGCGGCCGTGTGGCTGCCAAATGACAGCCTCGATGCCCGTCTCAGGGAGGCGGAAGCCAGGTCTGATCGCAGCAAAGCAGACCTGGCTCCCAGCCACAGAGCCAGGAAGGGCTGGAGCTGAGAAGCAGCTCGGGGTGCCGGGGTGTCAAAAAGGGGGTGCACCCATGTTTATTGCTGCTTTATTTATAAGAGGAAAGACGTGGACTCAACCCAGATGCCCAAAAGTGGATGACTGGATGAAAAAGATGTGGTACATATATACAATGGAATATTACCCAGCCGTCAAAAAGGATAAACACATGCCTTTTGCAGCAACATGGATGGAGCTGGAAGGGATCATGCTGAGTGAGATAAGCCAGAAGGAAAAGGAAAAATACCAGATGATGTCACTCATAGCAGGAGTATAAAGAACCAGGGGAGAAAATAATAATAATAATGAACAGCTATATACCAGAGACATCTTACGGAAGCGGAGTAGGGAATGGGATCAAAAATGGGGTGGGGGGGTGCACTGGACTATGGTGATGGCACACGGTTGACTTGGGGATGGGAACTGAGATGGACAAAGGTATAAAATGATGTAAAAATCAACTATTATATTATTTTAAAAATTCAAAAAAAGGATGCAGTCCACCCATGGGTCAAAGCTCCCCTCCCCCAGCTCACACCCCATGACACAGGAAACACCCGACCACGTTATGTGGCCTCTCACGTCCATGATTGTTTTAGTTTCAACACAGTCCTGGTGGGTGGCGGGCAGGTCCGTGTAGGCATGGAGACGCCAGGGCAGGGGGAGGACCATCTGTCGGTCACTGTGCAGGGCCACGCCGAATATGCACGAAACGTGGCCTGGTGGCTGGGGGCAGGCCCCGAGCACGCTGAGCCTGGCCAGGGCCGGGGCCCTGTCGTCCCCCGTCACCTCTCTCTCCGTCCCATCATCTGTCAGATGTGGTGATAGCCATCACGCTGCAGAGAATGACCACGAGTGAGAGAATGACCATGCCTGAGCCGCCTGGCATGCCGCCTGCCCAGCTGTGGGCTCCTTTGCTTCTTGTCCCAAACCACAAAATCCTGAGCACCCCTCAGTCATCTTGTCTCCATGCCCACGGGCACTGCCTTGGCTCCCTCATTCTTCTGGGCCTTTAAACACACCCCCTATTTATGCAACCATAACTGGGGTACAAGCCAGAGGCGGTGAGAGGATTCCCCAGAGACAGAGCGGGGAGCAGAACAGGCAGATGGACTGAAGTCCTCTGCTTGAGGGGAGCAGCGGGGAGACAGGAGGGGTCTGCAGCGCCCTGGGGGTCCCCTCCGGGGCCGGGGATCGAGCTCGCACTGAAGCGGCTGCAGCCGGCTTGCAGTGCTGTGTCCTAACCCGCTGCGCCCCCAGGGAGGGCCCTGTCATCATTTAACTTCCTTCCCGGGTCTGCTCCATTCACTCAGCATAAAAGTCAGCAATGACAAGTGCCACCAGGCCAGAGGCTGTCCCCACCCCCAAGCTCTTTCCTCTCTACTCCCCCAGCACCCAGGCCTGTTCCCCAAAACCATCTTCCCTGGGCTCTGCTCTGCTGAGAGCCTCTCCGGCATGGTCATCACCCCTGCCTCGCTCCTGCCCCAGCCGGCCCCGCTAAGCGAGTCTGTCTGGATGGGGGGGCGCCCCCAGCAAGCTGAGTGTGAGTCTGTCTGGATGGGGGGCGCCCCCAGCAAGCTGTAGGTGGAGAAAGAAGTTGCAGGAGCCTCCAGGAATAGTTGCTGAATAAAGTCATGGGGACACCTTGCACATGTGTTAACGATTAGGATTTGGGGGCGTGCCATGCCTTCCCACTGGGGGTGCCCCAAATTTAACCACTATTGGGAAGAAAAAAATCAGTGACTTCATACAGTTGGGGGGGCCTGCTGTTATAGAGACCTCTGGAGTGCCGGGCTCACCCACCTTGGCAGCTGGTCAAGAACTGAATGCGGGTGTCACTTAAGGGGGGGGCTTAAGGGCCCGCTGTTATAGCGTTATAGCGCAGCACTGTGAAGCAGCCTTTGCAGCACGGGTTCGATCCCCGGCCAGGGAGTGACCCACAGGGCGCAGCAACCCCTCCTGTCTCCCCGCTGCTCCCCTCTGCGGTGGACTTGGTCGATCTGTCAGTTCTGCCCCCCACTGTCTCTGGGGAGTCCTCTCACCGGCCTGTACCCCAGTTCTTGTACGCATAAATAAGCAAATCTTAAAAAACTGCAAATGGTCTCTGCACCTCACTCAGCTGAAGGATGGTGGGGGGATCCCGCTAAGAAAGGGAAGCAGAGCTGGAGGGGACCTGGCCGCCGGCCCACGTGACCACGGGCGGGGACAGAGAAGGGCCCCGCAGGAAGGGCCTCCGAGGGCTCTGAGCAGGAGCCCCAACCCCTCCAGGGCGGCTCAGCCCCGCTCCCTGGGCGGGATTTCTCGCAGCCAGCCCTTCCTGCCCTCCGCGGCCTGCGGACTTCTCGCTGGCTGACCTCCCACGCGCCGCTCTTCCCCGCGACTCTCCAGCCGCAGGGCGCAGCAGGAGCCCCGCGTTACCATCCTAGAGGCAAACTGCCCCTCCCGGCCGGGGGCGAGCAAGGGCGGGGCTCCATGTCCGG